AGATGAAATAGTTTTATATAGAATTTTGCACTCATTTAATAGTTCATCTATATCACCTTGTGCACCATTATCATAAAGATAATTGTCATAACTAACTTCGCCTTCTTCATCATCGGAGTGGTGTGAAGTCATCAATGCTAGATTTGCACTTTCGTCACTATCCAAATCGGATGAAGAACTTATCTCATTATCTTCCCATGCAACATAATCCCTTTTGTTCTTGAACTCCTTTTTGCCTTTGAATCCATTTTTCTTGGAGAGTTTTGGACAATCCGGCTTTATGTGACCTTGCTTTCCACATTCATAGCATGTGACATCTTGTGTTGATGTGGAGGCTTCTTTATCTTTATGCTTATAAAATTTCTTTCTTTTGACAAAGTTAGCATTATGAAGATTATTTTTATGACCAAAATATTTTCCTAACCTTTTTACAAGAAGCAAGAAGTTTTCATCTTCCTCCGATGCATCTTTATCTTGACTTTCTTTTGAATCAACTTTCAAAGCAATGCCTTTGGATTTCTTCTCATGATTCTCATGTTTTTCAAGCCTTCCAAGTTTCGTTTCATATTCTTGAAGCTTTCTGAATAATGTTGCGGAAGTCATAGTTGCTAGGCTTTTCTTTTCGAATATTGTCGTCACTTTTGATTGTCATTCCCTAGTTAAAGACCTAAGCACTTTAAGATTTAATTCATCGTTAGTTAAAGTCTTACCGAGTGCCTTCAAATGGTTTGTCAAGTGAACGAATCTCTTTTGCAAGTCAAGGATGGATTCTCCGGGCAGCATTCTGAATAATTTATATTCTTGACTCAAGGTGTTCAGTCTAGACCTTTTGACTTTGGCGGTTCCTTCATGAGTTTCTACAAGAGTATCCCAAATTTCCTTTTCCGTTGTACATGCCGATAATCGGAAAAATTCATCCATACTAAGAGCACTTTGGAGAATATTGATTGCCTTTTTGTCAAAGAGAACTTTTTCTTGTCATCGTCATCCCATGATGCTTTAGGCTTTGAGGATCCAACACCATTTACAACACACACGGGAGTAAATGGACCATTCTCAACAGCATTCCATATTTCTTCTCCTTGCGCTTCAAGATGAGCCTTCATGCGAATTTTCCAAAAGTCAAAGTATTCACCACAAAACAATGGAGGCTTGTTGTTACTACCACCATCTTTGAAAACCGGATTTTGATTTGCGGAAGCCATTCTGGATCTTTAGGAACAAGTTACCTATAACTTGCTCTGATGCCAATTGTAAGTCTAAGAGTGCCTAAGAGGGGGGGTGAATTAGGTATATAAAAATTTATTCGGTTTTATGAGAATACTTGTAGTAATTTTTGTGGTTAAGTGTTTGAAGGTTTTTGACTATATCTTATCTTTTCTTGATTATGGTGATGAAAACGATAAATGTGGAAAAGTAAAGAACACGGCGATATATCCTGGTTCCCCTCACAATCTGAGAGTACTCCAGTCCCCTTTCCAACACGAAAGAGATTTCACTATAGTTTAGAATAATTGTACAACCTATGCTTACTATCTAACCTATAGGGTGACCAAAGGTTCTTGACACCTTTAAGGTCAAACAAACACTAATGTGAATGAAGAACAATCCTCTTCAAGTCACAACACTTACTTCCAACAATCCTGGATAGTAAGGGAATAGTTTCTTTTTGTAATACAATGGTTTATTTGTAAGAGATGGAGAGCAATATCAATCTTTGATTGATCTTCTTCTTCAAGAAAGAAACAATTCTCAAGCAATGATTATAAATGTTCACAATGAATGTATGAAACTTGTAATGATTTCTTAATGAAAATGTATATGGCAAGTTTCACAAAAATTATGATTTGTAATAACACTTTAAAGTTTGTAAGAATATAAAAATTTGAATGATGAAAATTGTTAATTGAAGAAGGTAATTTGAATTTAAAAAATCTTCACTATTTATAATGTCACAAATACCTCTTCATTCATGTCATTTGATATGAAAAGATGCAATACAATCATGAAAGAATATCATTTGAATCATGTTCAAAAAACAAAAGAAAATTTGTACTGGTTCGCTGGAAACCGGTTCCGACCCAGGCAGAACCCGGTTCCTAGTGAACGTTATAACCCAGAATTCAAAAATAACACGCAGGAACCGGTTCCCCTATAGGTACAACCCGGTTCCTGGTACAAATTCCAGGGAAGTGTTTTTTGAACAAGTTTGGAACCCGGTTCCCTGTTAGGTCAGAACCGGTTCCTAAAAGTTTATTTTCAAAAATTCTTTTTGAAAAAGATTTCAAACATAGTTTTTCTTTTTGTTAAACATATGGGATATGTATATGATTATGAATGCATATTCGGGAACATCTATATTCAAGTTTAAGAATTATTTATACCTTTTGACATTGTTGTTTCTTTAATAATTCTTCTTCTAATCTTCAAGACTTGTAACAAGGTTTTATATGATATTGATAAACTTTTTGCACATCCTTTGAATGTTGATATCCATGTTGTCTTCATCAAAACTAATGCTTTAAACATGACTTGAGAAGCTTGCAATTACATTCTCCCCATTTTTGATGATGACAACCAAGTCTTGAAAACAATTCTTGAAATGTTTATGTTGTTTTGTGTAGCAAAAATGTTAAGCAAATGCAAGGCTCCCCCTAAATTGGATGCTCCCCCTAAGTCCATGATTCTTTGAATTTTGGAGTGAGTTTTATGATAGTTATTTTGGCCTGCAATTTCTTTGAAACAAAACAACACATATGCATATTCTTCTCCCCCTTTGTTAACATCAAAAAGGATGGGGAAAAAGAGTGAAACAATTTTTTTTTTAAAACACACAAACAATATATACACAAATATTTTAACAAATAAAAACATATAAAAGAAGGAGTAGAAGCAGAGTGTACTGAAACATAAATTTTTGAAGAAAAATTAAGACGAGCACCTTATGAGAAACATTTAGAGATCACCTTCATCCAAAATACCAAATTCTCTTCGGATTTTGAAGAATGGTTCTCGAGCAAGCGGTTTTGTGAAGATATCTGCGAGTTGGTTATGAGTATCCACAAAAGTGACTTCGACATCTCCTTGAAGTACATGATCACGGAGAAAATGATGTCGAATATCTATATGTTTGGTTCTTGAATGCATGACCGGATTCTTTGTAATATTGATAGCACTTGTATTGTCGCATCGAAGAGGAATGCATCCGAGATCAAGTCCGTAGTCACGGAGTTGTTGCTTGAGCCAAAGAATTTGTGCACAGTAACTACCCGCTGCTATGTATTCTGCTTCGGCTGTTTAGGGTTCAAAAAAATGCATCAAATTGACCATTTTTTTTAAAATTAAAATTCAACATGTCAATATCAAAACGAATCATACATTCTCCAATTACAAAAAAAAATATTACTTATTCTTTTTACAAACATAAAAACTTTTAAGTTGTCACTCCGCTATAGTTTTTCTTTCAACCATGTTCAGTCATCATCGCATTGCCTCTTTCAAACATAGCCATGTTGTCGAGTTCACTATTGATTGTCGTTTAATTTAATTTTGTTGTTATTGTCGATTATGATTTATTTGTTGTAGTTCAATTCAAATTTATTTTTCATAATTTAATTTAGTATATTATATTAATTGTTTTTGTATTCTATCTTATTTAATTTTGATATTCTTAATTATTTAAATTTTATTTTAGATATTATTTTTTATTATTTTAATTTTGGTTTGAATCAGCTTAACTTATTTTATTATAATTTTTTAATTTGTCTAAATTATTCTTAAATAAAAGTTAAAATGAAGTATGTGACTATGTTGTGTTATTATATGTATTATCAATATTGTTGTATTAAATTTATTTAATAAATGGTTCGACCGTAGATTTAATCGACTTAACCAATTGAACCTTAAATCGGAAGTTTCACCGATTGGATCTCCAATTCGATTTTTAAAACATTGATTTTAACAAATGTATTTATCTTGTTGTAAGTAATAAAAATGTCGCTTCATATGTCATAGGACATCTTGAGTCTAACATGTCAGAATTTCAAAGTCAAATATTTTTTTTAGTTGAATAAAGTTCAACTAAATTAAAGGTTCAACTAAATTAAATGTTTGATATTTCACAACAGAAAATTTTCACCGTAGAGAACATGTTCCCTGACCCTTTCTCTTGATTTTCTTCCGCCCTTTTAGCAAATGCTTAAAGGTGTAGCACTGTAGTCTTGAGCTAATTTTCAATTCTATAAATTTTCACTTTTTCATGTCTTTTTAATATTGCAGAAATTATAATAAACCCAAATATTCTAACACATTCAAACTAGACTGGCATGCCTTAAATGTAATTACATTAAGAGAAATTTTATGAGAAACGAAAACAAAACAATAACTAGTGAATTAAACTATATAAATTAATTTAGTTAATGTTACCTTCAACTTATTTCTACAAACTATTTATAATGACTTATACAAACAACTTGAATTAGACGAAAAGTAATTTTTATTTTATTTTTTATCATAGATATAGAGACAAGTTATACATAAATAGTTAAATGGTAGTATTCGATAAACTCTTTTTTAGTTATTTATCCAAAAATGACAAGAAATAAACGGAGTTGAGGATAACATTACACTTTCTCAACATCATATTTTTCGAATCTCATACTTTATATTACGTATTCAAATTTCAATGGTAGTTTTATATCCAACTTTCTAATTTATTTATATTAAAAAAATCATATCTCAACTGAAAATAAATTAACATGAAAGCCTAGGATTTTTAACCATGCGGCATCGCTCACAAGCATATTGAAGGGTCACTTTAGCCTAGGAACGTTTACACCACTAAATGATGTACCAAATCCATAGTGATTGTAGACATCATTAACCATAGGAAACGAGATAGTAACAACAGCTAATTTTGTTCAAAATTCTGACTGTAAATTGCATAACTGAATCACTCACCAAAAGACAGCTTAGGCATGCTAATAATATGACCAAAAACATTAGAAGACAATTGAAGAAGCTTCGTCATCTACGTAGTTGACAGCTTGGTCCCAATAATGAGGAACTCCAGCATCCACAAAAACTTTCCGAGCAGCTGCTTCAGGGATGCAATCATGAACACTGAACCTATTGAAGCTTGGTTTGGCAATACTCCCTTGCCATACCAGAACACATTTATTGACAGGCTTGTCATCATCTGAATCTTCGTCTTCTTCTTTCTCTTTAGAAAAATCACTCCAATTTATACGTCTAAGCATAAGTTTCCCATACCTCTTAATTGACTTGCTTCCACCTTCAACCACAACAACACTAATACCATCACAAATCACAGAACATCCAGTCAAACGGTTTTCTTGAGCATTAACATCGAGTTTAAAGCGGGCTTTTGGATGAGAGAGGTCATTAATCCTGTAAAGTGAGACAAGTGTGTCTAATGTGTTTGGGTCATCAAATAGCCTCCTTTCCTTCTTCTCACGCAGCTCAGCAGGAGTAAGCTTGCGTGCAATATTCCTATCTATGTGAGCCTGCTCACGCTCAGCAGCTGCATTACGTACTTCCTTTTCAAGCCTAGTGGGATCTTGAGTTGCTTCAGTCCCTAGTACTTTCATTAAATTGCTCATCTTGACTTTTGGTTTTGGCGGTTCAATGACACCCTGTCTAATCAACTCCTGCCGCTCTTTCTCCTTAGCTATTCGCCTTTGGGTCCTGAGTTTCTTCTGCTCCTGTTTGGTTAGCTTGAGGGGTTGAGGTGGTGGAGGGGCAGGCTCAGCAGGTGGTTCAATGGGACGAGGATGCTCCACATAAAAGGTGATTTTTTCCATTTTCAGCTTGTCTTCACCTACAGTTCCGTTAGCGATGTCACCATAATTTCCAGAATGCAGAAGTGCCACGTCCCTGACAAATTATAAAAGTTAATTTAAGACTTATAAACATTCAGAGACATGGATTGACAAATATTTTGAATACATTTTCTGATTCTAATTTTAATACTATTTAAATAACAAAACCATATTCTCAAGACAAGCAATACTATATTTAGTAGTCATTCATGTCATATTCATTTTGCAGCCATATCCAAGTATATGTTATACAACTATATAAAATGGAGGGAAGCACTTAAAATGATGTACAGGTGTTGACGTGTTGTGTATTTTCTCAATATACCCTTATGCCCAACACAGTAGGGCTTGGTGCCCGGATATAAACGGTGGGTGGCCCGTGGTCTGATTGATAGGCTCTGATAGCTTAATAAAATTAGAGTTGGCCTAATTCATCCCTACAAAACTAACTTGTAAAGTGAGGGGTGTCACTATATATAAACTCTTAAGAGACTATGTCTAACCAATGTGGGACTTGAGATTTTCTGAATACTATTCATCCAAAGTGTTGTGAATTTCCCAATGACTCTATATTGTGATGGACAGGATAAACCACCGCAGCTCCACCTCCCAAACGGATAGCCTATACAATCGGATGTCACCAAACTGATACACTAATGTACCACACAAATATATTCCTCCTCCTGATCTCTTGTCCACTCTTCTACTCCTTTGTCTAAACCTATGCATTCGTTCCTACAATGATTAATGTATTTCTATGTGAACAACCCTCATGCCACCTTCCACTACAACCAAAAGGCCTTCCTACAAGTCCCCTCTGTCACACCTTGGGTAGCATGGATTGCTAAATTTCTGGGAAATCACCTCACCCTATCAGACCAGAAATTCTAGAACCATAAAGAGAATGGAAAAGCCCAAGGAAAGACTCTTCTGGTGTAATGTACTACTCAACTCAATCAACTAAAAGTTCACATAACTCCCCCAAGATAGATCCCCGCCTAACTCACACACCAATCAAATGTCTAACCCAACCCAAAACAGCCCCACCTATATTTACTCTTCCCATACACCTCCCTATCTCCAAACAGCAATTACTTCTTCCTTGTTATAGAATACACTTCATACATTACACTTCCTAGGACCGAGTTCAACGCATCGACCATAACATGCTCTACGTCTCTGATTGACCACCAACATGCAAAATGACCCACTCAATGGAGTAACGAGACATCATAAAATCCTTGTAATTTCTAGTCAAACAGCATTTTGCTTTCTAGGACCTAGTTCAACACATCGCCCACAGCGTGCTCTACGTCTCTGATTGGCCACCAACATGCAAAACGACCCACTCAATGTAGTTACGAGACATCAAAAAGTCTTTGTAATTTCTAGTCAAACAGCATTGTTGCACAGTTGGAATTTTTTTCAAACAGCCTGGCAGGCCAATTACTATTTATCACATTGAACTTTCATTTAACATGATTTTAATCACCATTTAGCATACAGTCATAACCTAACATGCATACAATGCACGCTAGCTGAACTTCAAAACAATCCTTGACCTTAACAAACACAAAACTTAAATGAAAACCAGTAGTCAAGTAAAACAAGAACTTACCACCACTCAATTTCAGGGATTTGGTCCTTCAGTTTTTCTTTAAATACAACTCTCTCTGTTATATCTATTAAGTTCGGATTTATATCAGGAGCAGCCTTTGCCTTTGCTAGTTGTGCTTGCTTGGCCTTCTGCTCTTTTGCTTGAGCTTCTCCATATTTACTCTGCAGGAGGAAAATAACAATCGCAAAGCACACATAAGACAATTGGAAAGAAATAAGTAAAAGTGCAAGTAACTAGAACGAGAGAAAATGGAAGAACATAAAGAAACCTTCAATTTTATTGATTCAGCATCTCTTGACCATTTTCCTTCCTCCACAAACAGAATATTCATCCTCTTGGGCCGCAGGAGCTTTGTTTTGTCGATACCCATCCTTTCATCAAAATGAGGATTAGATTCAGGATCAACTTCCAATACAGGTTTTAGTATTTCAAATGCATCCTTCTTCTGTTTATTAATATTGACCTGGAATCATCGGACAAGGAATGTAGGGTTAAAGACAATACAATCGTACATAGAAAAATATAAATGATAGAGACAAATGAGAAAACTACACACCTTTAATGTGCTAAGGTTGCTTGGCTTAGTTACATTAACAACATTTCCATGCTCATCAATTTCCCGTCCCTGGGCATCAAGACGAAGAACAGGAGCCTTGGTTGGTTTCCGAGGGATAGCACCATCTGGTGTTACAATCTGGCCAGGAAGCATATTTATTAGAGGATCAAATTGTGGATCGTGACGGAGGCTGTCAGAAAACTATAGAGCTAACAAATGATAACCATTAGTAGAAACAATAGACAATTTACCTGAGGAATTCTCTTGAGCTTTTCTGGCAACTCTTTCTGCATTTGTAAAGCCTTCTTAGCCTTAGCTAAGGCATCAATAGAGAGGCTTCCAGGTTTCCCAGCAATTGAAGAAGACCCATCTGTACTAGATTTTCCAGTAACCTCATGAGACATGGTAATACTAACGCCCTTATTTTCATTTGTGGTAGAAATTGAAGATACCTTAATAGGAATGGGAGGAGGAGGGGGCAAAGATGTCTGTGGCACACTAGCATGCACCACGGCAGGAGATCCGGCCGCAACGCCCTGCAACATCACAGAACAAACACCAATGAATGTATTTCTCTCCAAATATTCCAAAAGCTAGTAATGAAGTTGAACAGAAACAAAATAAATCACAGCAATGGACATATATACTGTCAATTGTCATACATATTTCCCAATCAAGTATATCAGAATTCCTATTCTAATTCAGTAAGACAAAAACACATAAAAGAAAACCTACAATTTGAAGTGATATTCTAAACCATAGACAATACTATAGAAGTAAAGATTCATACATAGTAAATATAACCACAAAACCAGAGAATTGGGGAATTTAAACCAAGTCGAGGGGCTTAAAAGAAACTCACATTATGCACAGAAGCGTTGTCTTTGGAAGAGGCAAAGCCATGGGCACCATTAGTGACTTCCTCCTTGATCTTGGGCTCACTATCATAATCTTCATCTTTCTTCACTTTATCACCAAACTTCCTAAGCTCCTTCTTCACTTCCCTCTTCTCTTCAGAAACCCTAATTCTCTTATCCTCCAAATCCCGATCGTCACTGTGTTCCCTATACTTCCGTTTGTGAGAATGCGGAGAGTGTCGCGGCTCCACTGAATCTTCCATCTCTTCATCGCGCTTCACTTTAGACCTATATCTGCTTCCCTCTCGGTCCTTAGTTTTGTGTTCGTGTTTGGCATTCCGGTCCGATCGATGATGACGGTGGTCATCGGAATCGTGGCGGGTCCGATGATGCTTGTGATCGCGGTCACGTTCGGAGTGTCGATCTCTGTTTCGCCTATCGGATTTGTCTCTGTCGTCCATTTTAGGGTTTGGGGAGATATGCTTTGTTCCCTCCTTTTCTATCGTGAATTGGGGTTGAGGAATCACTTTAGCTTAGCTTTTAGAGAATGCCAAAAGTAATTGAAATACTAATAAATACTGACCTAAATGCTAACATATAAAGCTATTAAAATTAGATACCCGATAAAAAACGGATCTGTTACCATGGATTTAGGCTTTTTAATTATACGATCCACTCAAAAATTATTATCCAAATCTAGTCAGAGCTATCCGATTTAAATGGACTTTTTTTATTAAAAATATTAAAATATTATTTTTATAATATTTATTATAAATAAAATTAAAAATTATATTAATTTAAATATAGCACATTTTAAAATACTATATTACTTTTTAAAAAATTTATAATATGTTTTTAAATTCGATACATGTTTAAATTATATAAAATAATACTTGAATATTTAACCTAAGAGAAAATAATAGAACACAAGGAAAAAATATTCATTATATTAATATATAATATTTAAAAGATCATAATTGAATAGAATAGAGATAAATTTTAGTGAGGTGGAAAAAATTAATGTGTTATTTTGATGTAAAACAATATAATAAGTGTTAATATATTTGATAGCGGGCTTTTTAGAGTTGGGTTAAAATAATTGTTCTAGACTGGGCCGCCACTCAAGTAAAATGCTCATTCGAGGCTCAATCCAGAGCGCAGAAAACTAGGTCTAATAAGCATTGGAGGTTTACCCTCCTGAGCGTAGGGGACCTAGCCCTCTAGAGGGACACTTGCCCGGAATGCCCTACGAAAGACGGGAATTGTCCCCTACGAAGGGCCACGTTCCCTTAGAGACAAGGGAATTCTGCCCGGCGAGATTCTCGGAGGGCTTATTGACTGTCTCCCCTACGGATAAGATCAAACCTTATCCCCCATGTCACCCTTACGTGGCAGCCAGTATTGAGCCTCCCAATTTGCCCATGAACTGGTCACTCGGCCCATCGCTGGGGGGTCTATAAAAAGGTCTCATCACTTGAGACCAAGGTACACAATTCCTTACCCTAAATTCTACCTCTCTCTCTGATCTCTCTCCTCTTTCTGACTTGAGCATCAGAGGGTTTTGCAGGTACCCCCCACCTCCTTCTCCAATCACGTCGCCGGAGCCAACTGCCAGTCGGACGTCGTCCCCTTCTGATCAGGTGAGATCAGTGGCACCGTCTATGGGAAACCAGCTTCCCCGTGTTAAATCAATCCCTCTCCGATCCTAACACAAAAACTGCATTCCATCCAAACGATGTATGGCATTCCAGAAACCTCCGGCGTGAAGGATCCGGCCATCAACAACGGCAAATCCATCGAAACTGATCCGGCTGTCGAGAAAGCGCCGAAAACCATCAGATCTGCAATCGGGGAGGTCGCCCTGACCATCCACGATACTGAAGGCATAAACTTGTCCTCCGACGACTTCACGAAGAAAGCTGCAGAGTCAGGCTGACCAACCTCCCCCTGAGGAGGAGTCTTTCGATACTCAACCACTTTCTCAATAAATTTGGGATGATGTGGTTCCTGAAAATTTCCGACCACCGTCGCTAGCCTCTTATGACGGGAAGTCAAATTCTCAAGAGCACATCATCACTGTTAACAATCAAATGGAAAAAATCTCCCCCACCGAGTCCTTGAAATCAAGCTTATGGTTGGCACACTAAAAGATGTAGCCCTCAGATGGTACATGAGTCTTCCTCGGCATTCCATCTTGAGCTACCAGGACCTTACCAAGAAGTTGGTCCAGGGAAGAAAATGAGGTTGAAACTGCCCAGAAAGTCACTGGCGTCCATCACACCATCAACACCATTGCTGGCGGGTTCGCTGGCGGCGGAGAAACAAGTTCTTCACGAAAGAAATACTCTTGAACCGTCATGCACATATCCGAAACTATGGTACTTAAGGTTGATCAGGAGCTAGAGCCGGTCGACTTCTCTAAACAGGATGTTATGGGCGGCATGTCCCATGAAGATGATCACATGGTTATCAAAACACAAATTCGTGATTGGAACGTCAAGCGAGTCCTGGTGGATTCGGACAGCTCCGCTGACATACTCTATTGGGAAGCATTCCGTGGAATAGAGTTCGACATGGCCGAGTTGCTCCTTTTTCGAGGCACACTCGTCGAATTCGCTGGCGAACAGGTACAGATAATGGGGCACCTACCCGTTCTCACAACCTTTGGAAGCGGCGAGAATGCAAAGACCATCAAAGTCAGATACCTGGTGGTTAATTCAGCATCATCTTACAACGCCGTCATCGGCAGGCCTTCATTCAACGCCCTTGCAGCTGCTCTATTAACGTTGTACCTTACCAGGAAGTATCCGCTTGGAGGCGGTCGGGTAGGGATCGTAAAGGGAGGCCAAGGTCTGGCAAGAAAGTGTTATAAAAATAGCCTAAAACTGAACAAGAAGGAACAATCTCAAGATCCGAGAAAATACACCACGGATATGAGGCTGAACCCGAAAAAATGTACCTTTGGGGTACAGGCAGGCAAGTTCCTTAGATTCATGCTCATGAGTCGGGGAATCGAAGCCAATTCGGATAAGTGCCAGGCAGTCCTTGACATGAGAAGTCCTTCGTCCAAAACCGAGGTTCAACAGTTGACGAGAAGGTTGGTGACTCTATCCTGATTCTTATCATGTGCAGGCGACAAGGTCATTCACTTCTTTGTAGCAATTCGAAAGGCTAAAAAGTTTGAATGGACACCTGCTTGTGAAGAAGCATTCTTGACTGTGAAAAAATTCCTATCTTCTCCACCAATTCTGACCAGACCCAAGGAAAACTCTCCCCTGGTATTATACCTATCAGTATCCGACAATGCCCTGAGCTCGGTTCTTGTTCATGATGGTGCAGAGGGAGAAAGACCAGTGTATTATGTGAGTAAAGTATTGAAAGGCACAGAACAGAGGTATCAGAAAATTGAAAGGTTGGCTCTAGCTCTAGTTGTCACCGCCAGGAAGTTAAAACACTATTTCCAGGGGCACAAAATCACAGTCATAACGAATTATCCCATAAAACAAATACTCATGAAGTTGGATCTATCCGGAAGGATGGTTACATGGGCGGTCGAGCTGTGAGAATACGACATACAGTTCACCTCGAGAACAAGCATCAAGTCATAAGCCTTGGCTGATTTTGTTGTCGAACTGAGTGCCCTAGGTATTGATGAGAGCCTCATCGGCTGGACTCTCCACGTCGACGGTTTTTCAAATCTCAAAGGTAGCGGAGCCGGGATAGTGCTCGAAGGACCCAGTGACTTTGTCCTTGAGTATTCTCTTTGTTTCAAATTTCAAGCTAACAATAATCAAGCAGAGTACGAATCACTCATAGCCGGGATGAAACTTGCTACATAAGTGGGTGTTACTCACCTGACCGTGAAGACAGATTCATATCTAGTAGCGTCGCGGGTGAAAGGATAGTACCAGGAAAAGGATGTATCATTGCAGAAATATTTGGCAAAGACTCACGAGTTGGCCCAGAAGTTTGTCAAGTTCGTGATCATTCACATTCCTTGCGAGGAAAATATCAGGGCTGATGTGCTAGCTCGACTGGCCATCACCAAGGGTCTCGGCTTGAATAAAACAGTAATCTAAGAAACAATTGAAAAACCAAGCATCGAATGCAACAACCGGTTACCATTGTGTCTTTTGGAAAAAAAATTAATCTTTGAAAACTCATATCTTTCAAACTGTAAGTCCGTTTTACGCGCAGTTTTCGGCGTTGGGTCTTAAATAAAAATTTGAATTTCCAGATGAGCACAAATTGTTAAGAAATGACAAAGATTTTATTTTTAAAAGCAATTGTTTGTGAAGATGAGTGTAGGATCTTTTCTTTTTAAAGCAACCTCTTTAAGGGACTACCCGATTTATTCTTCCTTTTTCCGAAGGGACAACCGAGGGTCATATACCAGTATTATACCGAAGGCAACATCGAGGGATGTATCAGTATTTGTATTTGAATTTGAAAGGCAACCTCCCAAGGATATATCAGTATTTTTCCTAAGGCAACAAACCGGAGGGATAATCGAGGTACATACTGATATAAATCCAAGGGTATACTGATATTAGGGACATACTGTTTTTTTTTGTTTTTAAACCGAAGGGTCATGGAAGAATAAATCGGGTTTTATTTTGAACCGAGGGACTAGGGACAGTGCCCCACAGTTTTGGTCACCTTCACAAACAAGGGTTTAATATGCAATAGCATGATGCATGAATGCAATCAATGCAAGGTTAGAAGATCATATCTGAAAGCAAGGGTACCCCCCTCCCAAAGTGACAGTACTAGGGTTATTTCCTTTGAAAGTGACGGTTCTATTAAGGTACCCCGAGTCCAACTCAATCTTAAAGACACATCAACGCATAACAATCGTCATGTTCAATAATGCCCCTAAGAGAATCTACTTGGAGGGTAGTCATCCATGGTTATAAACTTAGAGAACAGTAGTCCAATAAGAATGCCAAGACCACCAAGTCCTAAAAAGCAAGGGTTGTTTTGGTATTTCTAAGTTCATTGGGTCGTAGACTGAAAACTCAATGCCCTTCATTACTATGACCAATAGGCCAATTCATAAAGGGATTAAGCAAGTCTCACCAATGTTGGGCTTTTCCAAGGTCAATCCAAAGAACAATAATCCAGTGGACGTTCCAAGGCTATGCCACCCTATGAAAGAAAGGACTCTTAAGCCTGGGTTTGGCTTATCTCACCACACAAATTTTTTTATTTTTTTAATATTGTATTTTCCAAAAACAAATAATAATATAATAATATAATATAATAATAATATAATAATATAATCCTAACCTAAAGTTTGGCTTAGACTAAGTCCCCAGCAGAGTCGTCACCTGTCGCGGCGCGATTTTTAAGGGTACCCCTAAGGCGTTGTGTGGCCTTTAGGGTTTTTGAGTCGCCACTTAGCTTTTTACTTCGGAGGAAGAGGGAAAGGAAAGATAACCCTAGAAATTATGGGATCGTG